ATCTGAATGTGTCCAACACCGGCTAAGGCGAACCAAAGTTTTCTAAATGTGGTGCTTTTGTAATCCAACGACGGCTACGCGAAATAAACCTTTTTTACTGAAAATATAATTTTAGTGAACTGGTTGGAGTTGGGTTGAGCGGATGGAAATATCTCCCATATCCCATATCTCTGGACTTAGTATTAGGTATTAGCATTTTTGAAAGGTGAGAGTGTCAGCTATAAAGGTATGGATCGCATAGCCTGTGTTGGACATACATCAGAGCAGGGGTATTGAAGGATCGAATTTTCGGTTTTCTTCGACAGAGCGGAAGTAGCGTTGCGGCAGAACAAGAAATACGCAGCAATGCGATATGTGCTTAGTTATTTGGTCTGTTCCAGAACCTGATAGAATTAATTGCTTTTGCAATTTTTTTTCGATATCATAAAGGAAAAATCGGTTATTGTAGTCAAAAACTAAACATTCTTCCAGTTCTGGAACATAGAAATTAAAAGCAGTTTTTGGTTATCGAATTACATTTAAGTAATCAACTTGATTATAAATTAATGTTTAATAAAGTTTATTATAAAAATAATAATAAAACTTCATAATTTCCGCACAAACAAAACAACAAAGTAACTAACGTAATTATTAAAACAAAAAAGGTATCTTCAAGGCTGAAAAAGAGGCAATACCAACATATCACAAACAAAAAAAAAATCGTCATCAAAAAAGGTAAGCCGAGGATTATTTGCACCTAAGAGAGAAGAGATAGTAAGAAAAACATTAACTGAAGGATCTTCAAAAGCAGCAGAAAAATATGAATTATCAACCGGAGGAAGAAGAGAATAAAACAAGTTAAAAAGCAGTAAGTTGCATTCCCCCCACCATTTAAAACGAATTTGGAAATTTTCAAAATGGAAAATCCGTTAAAAGTTATGTCAAAATCTTAAAAATACCGAATATAACCCGGGGGTCTATACGACGTGGGCCTACGTAAACATTGTTTGTCATAAGCAATTACCATATTCAAATTCGAAACGTGAAATAAACGGTGAATAATGTAGCTAAAATCATCAAAATAGCGTATATAGGGAGGTGCCGTTATATCGGAGCTATACGAAGACCTGGACCTGCATAGACAATTCTTTGTCACAGGCTGTAGCATCCATTACGAACTCCAAATACGACATCTCAAGCAATTTCGGTCAGTAGTGTACCTAAAATCGTCTTGGAGGCTTTAGTATTAAGTATGAATTGAGTAAAGAAAGAAAGAAAAAAAATACCGAATATAGGGAGGTACTGATATATGGTGCCTATACGAAGACCTGGACCTGCATGTACAATTTTCTGTCACAGACTATAGTTCCCATTACGAACTCTAAATGCGTAATTTGAAACTACTACGGTGAATAATGACGCTAAAGTCATCAAAATACCGAATATTGGGAGGTGCCGTTATATGGGGGCTATACGAAGACGTGGACCTGCACACCAAATTTTCTGTCTTAGGCTGTAATATTCATTTCGAGCTTCAAATGCCAAATTTGAAACAATTCCGGTGAATAATGTCGCTAAAATCATCAAAATACTGAATGTAGGGAGGTACCGTTATATGGGGGCTATACGAAGATGTGGGCCTGCACACACAATTTTCTGTCTTAGGCTGTAGTATCCATTTCGAACTTCAAATGCCAAATTTGAAACAATTCCGGTAAATAATGTTGCTAAAATCATCAAAATAACGAATATAGGGAAGTACCGTTATATGGGGGCTATATGAAAACTTGGACCTACATAGCCCATTTACGAACTTAACCTGCCTACTGGCAAAATAAACATATGTGCCTTTTATCTCAATTCGTTCGAAAGATAGCGTGATTACAACAGACAGACAGAAGGACAGGGCTAAATCGTCTTAGAATTTTACGCTGATCAAGAATATATATACTTTGTTGGGTCTGACGTGAGTATTTCGAGGAGTTACAAACCGAATGACAAAATGAATATACCCTCCATAGTATGGTGGAGGGTATAAAAATATTTTGACTTCTGTTATGATTATTCAAACTCAGTGTGTTTTGAAAGAATGGGCCAATATTGTCCATTTCGTATCGGACCTAAATAAATATGATATAAATGTTGTGATGTGGCAGGTTCGGACTATATTGGTAACTTCCTTCACTTTATATATAGATAGGTATGTGACAATTTTTAGAAAATGTAAAGTATAGTATTCCATTTTCATGCTTCATCTCATACAGATAAAAATATTGTTAAGAAAATCGAACATTTATGTCCAATTTATGGTAATCATAAATTCCATATTTATCTCAGGTTCCTGGTTGAGAGACGTATATTTAGATATAGCAAGTTGTAAAGAATCGCTGAATTGTTTCGCAATTTATGACAGATAGGTATTGAAAATTATAACCTTATGTGGGTGAGGTACCAGAAGGTGTTAGCAGATTTATATCATATTCACAACAGATATTGTATTAACAAAAATGTTGGATGCTTATTTCGCTTTCTTTGAGCGTTTTGTTTTTCAAAATCTTGAATCTATGTGGGCAGGTAGCAAAAGAAACGCTCGAATCTCTACCATCTTTACAACAGATCTTGTGTTGATGGAAATGTTGAGATGTGCCAAGTCTGGAATGGAATGAGCTTCATGGATATCCAAAAGTTTAACCTTTGTGGACACTTACCAGGAGGAGGAGATATATCCCATTTTCACAACAGATCTTGTGTTAGTAGAAATAATGGAATGTGTGAAATATAAAGAGAACCTGATGCTTATTTCGATGATGCTTATGACCTTCATGGATATTTAAAATGTTGACGCTTTGTAGGGTAGGTAATAGAAGGAATGGTCCGATATCCACCATTTATATAACAGGAATCATTCAGATGTACCAAGTCTAAATAGAGTCGGATGTTAATTTCTCGTTTTATATTCGATATTCAAAATTTCGACCATTTGTGGGGGAGGTACCAGAAGGAGTGGACCGATATATTTCATCTTAGCACCAGATCTTGAGTTTATAAAAATATTGGGATATGTGTAAATTTAAGACAATCGGATTCCTGCATCACATTTTATAAGAGTTATAATTATTCAAAATTTTGACACTTTTGACCCAAGCGGTCATTATACTAAGAAACAAGTTGCGAAGTGCTACCGATTCGGTGGAAAACTGTCTTAAATTTTAGCGAAGAAATTGCGCGATTTGTTTTTATATATGCGGACAAATGTCCGATATACCTCATCGAGCAAGAGATGTCCACAGTTAGACAGGGTCCAATGTCCTGTTTAAAATTCTACGATGAAGTAGAAAAGAAATCAACCTTTCACACTAATAAGACTATTGTGTCTTATAATGAAAACAAGCATTGAAAAATAAAGGGCCAACGCGCTTAAGGGTTAAGGAAGTCCTAAGTACTCCTACTTCTAGAGTAGATGCCAACATCGAGCGACATGCTTTTGTGAAAATTATCGCGATCTGGGGCCAAATCACCGCATTCGTCATCGAGTTCTTTTTTGTATAGAAAAACATATCGATCGCTGTAAATTTTTGGATCACCGCATTCGATCGTAAATTATTTTGTCTACTACTTTTTTTACATTGCTGTGAACATATGGTAATAAGAAATTGGAAGCGAAAGAGAACTTCAAAATAAGTTTTTGGGATCAAAATATGTTATTTCTGAGAAATTTATATTGTTTCTGTGTGTTTAAATACATGTATACAAATATATTATGAATGAAAGTGCTTTTTTTCGTCTTCGGAGTCAGAGCATGAGTACAAAGTGGCATTAATAACATTAACAATTTAACATTGCCTGAAGTGGGGTGATTCTATTTAAAATAGTTTAAAACTGACACTTTCACCAACGTCTTGTTTCTTTTTGTTTGCATCTTTTTCCGCACAAAAATCACTACATACTTAGTTTTCGATAGCATACTACCTATCGTGTACAACTTCGTGTAAAAACAATTCGATAACGACGGCGGTGGTCCGCGTAAACTACATTATGTGGCGTTTCCACTGCACTTGATTCGCTCTCTATTCGTTGTTTGACCCTTAACTATGAAAAAACTACCTAATTCTTCACACAAAATTTCCTGAGCGAACACTCATATTTGTACGTTGTTCAAATCAAATCACTCTCAGAACAACGAAAAAATATGTCCCATCCCTAACAAATGAGAGCATTTATCAAAATGTTTCTATCGGCAGAAAAAATGTTTGACAAGTGTCTCTCCAGCAGAATTTAAAAATGGAAAAACACAAAAATGTGTTCAAAATGTCAACATTTACACAAAAAGTTGAAATCGTGAATGAAAATTGTAAAATTAATGATATAATAAATCTTTGGGAGGAAAACAATAATTTCTTATATTCATATTAGTGAGAATTTCATGAATTTTCGTATAAATTCCCATTAAAATCAACAAACAAAATTTTTGAAAAAAGGAATTATTTTACTATGAATTACGAATCGTGCCGTATGAACGGGTTAATTCGTGTACTTAATTCTGAGAGCGAACAACGTTGTTCGGTTTACAATGGAAACATGCTATAACGTTGGTGAAGTACTCGATTTCGACTGCGGTGATTTGGCCCCTGGTCATTACCCATCACTAACACAATTTAATTTAATGATAGACCGCATCAGAGAAACGAGCAGTTTCAATTTTTTATGGGTTTTTCCGGTACAAAAATAACATTTTTTGTATTACTCCGGAACCGATTAAAACCAACCTATCATATGACCACTTGTTAGAAATGTATTTCCATAAGCTTTCAATTGATACCCATTTTATCTGTGTAGATCCGGATAAAATCCGGATATTTCCCCACAAAAAATTACTTTGACGTAATCAGGTTAAAAAGATCTACGCGTGGTAAAAAAATCAGGTCACTCGACTTAAGCCGTACCTCCTCAAAAACCAACCATGTGGTTGATTACCAAGGTGTGGTGCAATTGAAATTGACAATTAGAAACGAAAGGAACAATAAACGAAGAAATGTATTTTTATTAGTTTAATTTTAACAGCAATAATAAATATGTTTAGCGCCTCTATTTATATGTCGCGTCTAATTGAATATAAAGTTGTTTTTAAGGCCTGCTTCTCACTAAATCTTATTGCCTTCTTCTTGTGGTGCGCTGCTTGTCAAACCTCATTTCCATTTCTTCGAGAACTTTCGGAGTATATCTTACAACAAGTTTGACAGAGCCCACAGCTTGTTTCAAAAGCTCCACCGCTTTTTCGTGATTTTCACCTTCAACAGACTAATTATTTGAGTTTATATATTGTTAAACAATTTTGATCAAGTTTCCTTTAGGGCACCTCTTGGACCGAGCTTAAATTTTACCATGTGTACACATTAAGCTGCTCACAACAGGAAACATATTCTTCCCAGATAGAAGTTTTGGTAGATGGAAAAGGGAGGGGGTTATGAATACGTCTTTCTCAAACAAATTTTTCTTCTAAATCGTTAGTTAGTAGCATATAGAGCCGACTTTCGCCCGGGAATTTAAGACTTTCCCCTTTGGGCATAAACAAACCGCCCGTATCACGATAAATCTACATATGTAAAAAATGTTATTGTTGTGAGCACCATATCAATGCCAGCACATGTTAAAAGTTTTAAGTTGACCCGAAAGTTGCCTCTAAGAGAAACGGAAGCCATAATGCTTACCACTCCATTCACAGATAAAAGTTGGTCGCCCCGTTTCAAACCACCGTGCCGATCTGCCACACCACCAGGAATAATGCGGGATATATAAATTGGTGAATTTTGTTCCTTACCTCCCATTACATTGAAACCAAGGCCTAAAAAATTCTTTTTTAAAAACATATTGCAATGCATACTTGCAATGTATTTCACCCTCTTCCGTTTTTGGTAATTCCACGACTCTGGGGTGAGCATGACCCTCACTTGCTGCGAATGCTGCTATTGTGGCCTTAGCTGTTGCTGATGCTCGCACATCTTGTGATCCTTGTATATCCACCGTCTCGTAAACATGTTCGTACACTTCGCGTACAGCGTTTAGGAAATCACTTTGAAGTACTTTTTGTAAGGCTGCTAATTTCGTCGTAGGAAAGTCTCCGCTAGCTTGGAGTTTTTCCAACAACTCAATTGAACGTTTGACATCTATTCAACAATTTAGATGTAAGAAAATATATCTTCGTATTAAAATCACATACCTCTTGCAAGTGTTAAAGGTTCGCAAACATCCGTCATTTTCTCCAAACCAGTCTTCTATTAAGACTAGCACCAACTATTTTTAGAAATCTTGTTTGTGGTATATTCAGATATTTTTTATATATTAGTGGAAATGCGCAATGCGCCAGGTTTAGTATTGTATAGTTCTCAACGACCTAGTTCAATTGAGCGGTTCACTGAAAGAGCGGGTGAACTTGGGCACCCAAAATGCCATATCCCCATTCACATGAGTAAAGTTTGCTGAAAAAAGTATTTGTTATAGAGAGAAAGCGCCGAAGAAGAAGTGAAAAATTCATATATCAATTTCCACCTTTTCCAAACAATTCATTTTTTCCGTAAATTTTCCTGTCAACTAATAGGCTATAGAACAGAACGCGTTTTCCATACAAAAAAAACAGAAAGAACCTGAAGTAACATGAAATGTCAAAATTAGAGAGTAATGTTTTTCAAAACGAAATTGACAGAGTTGCAACATCTTCATTTCATATAGTCCAAGGTAGATCTAACAGGTAACCGCATCGGCGAATTGCTACAACAAAGCAACTTTTGTGGTCCCCTCAAATGTCAAAATTGGCATCTAAGGCGAAAAACATAGATTCGCCATGACATTTAAAAGTTGCGGCAAATTTGTTTCAACCAATCAGAAACGAGGTGTTTGTTTACATTTTATTTTGTGTCCCTCTCGTCGTAAACGAACGTCGCAATAAAAGTTTTTATTGTAAAACAAATAAGAGTAAAATAAGTATTAATTGTAGTATTGCGATATTTTTTAAACAAAGAAACTTATAATGACTATATTTTACTGGTTTAAACCGAAAGTTTTCCGGAACTGCAAATGACAAGAGTCTAATTCTTGCACTACTTCCCGTGATGTGCTTTGGGAATCTTAGATGTTGAGGCTAACTTAATTCTTAAAGCTGCACTCCATTCTAACCTCCTTCCTTCATGTTCTTTTAATTTTTTACTGGTTTCACTCTTAACTTACTCTTAAATTATTTGAAATATTATAAAAAGGTACTTTTAGGGAAGACAACATAAACAAATTTGTTGTTGCATTCATTTAGGGCGAATTCTTCATTACAACAATTTGTTTTGACATTTAATGGTGCCGTCAGCTGGGCTGATGCGATTACCTAGTACATCTACCTTGATATAGTCAAAGGGAATGGTCAACTGATATTTTCTGATTTTTGATATGACGACTTTGTTTAAAAATCAAGCTTCTTAAGTGTCTAGTAGTGGTAGAACTAAATGGTAAAGTCATATAATCATATATTTTCGTTTATTTTTTTAAATTTATATATTGACAAAATCTCATTGTCAAAATCCATGGGAACTTTTTTTATGCATTGAAATTGGCAAGGTATATTGCAGAAAATGCAGTGCTTGGAATGCTAAATCGAAATGAGGTTACCTTTATTTCACTGTACCATGTGTTTAGTATTTTTCAAATATTCAAAAATACGACAGCTTTAAAACTTCGTGTCTTTTTTTCCACGGTATAATATCAGGGCTGTACTTCTGTAGTTTAACGAAGCTGTTCTACCTTAAAAAAAAATTAATCATTGTCCGGTCCGTTCGCGGCAGCTTAGCTGGTGCTACCGGACGCGTCTACAGGTTGCGGATAGTGGAACTCCCAATATATATAGCAGTCGCGGACAGCTTAGCAGTACCAGGGGGAGAGTCTCGAAACAAATATCCGAGCGCCCGTGATCCTTGGTTCGACGGTGTTGGTGTTGGTCTACCTGTGGTGTTACGTAAGCCGTGTCCATCAGTGTTACTCGGTTTGCAGTCAGGGTACCGACCTGGGAGCCTCAGTGAGTAGCAGGCGGATCTCGTCTTCTTCAAAGTCCCAGATTCATATGGAGAAGAAAAATATAAATAAAACAAACCTAAAAACCCCAACAACTACCAATGACCAAATTGCTTCGGAAGAAGCAATGACCAAGGACCGTTCAAAGGACACGAGTATAAGTTCGGGAGGGGACGATACGATCCTGATTTATAGCGATGTTATCCGTGATCGTATTTACCAGCAGAGTGAACAGTGGTCTGCTTTCCTGCAGAAAACTAAGACACTGAGACTCAGTCAGGAGAGTGTTCCCTCTGGCTTTGGAAATGACTCAGCCCTTTCTGATGAGGAAGTTGATATCACTGTCATTCCCTCGTACGAAGTCTCAACATCAGGAGGGATCTTCGTCGGCCGTTTCCGATGCCTCAAGCCTCAAAGGATGCCTCAGGACCGTTCAAAGGACACGAGTATAAATTCGGGAGGGGACGATACGATCCTGATTTATAGCGATGTTGTCCGTGACGTTTTTACCAGCAGAGTGAACAATGGTCTGCTTTCCTGGAGAAAACTAAGACACTGAAACTCAGTCAGGAGAGTGTTGAACCTCAGGGTAGTCAAAAATTCGAAAAGAGTTGTTCTAGCTCTCCTACCATCTGTTATCAATGGGAGGAAAGATCCAATCGCGGATCTACCTTCCGTTGAGGACCCTGTGGTTGTCAGCAAACCCATCACCGACAATACAACTACTCCGTTCCTACGGTGGAGGAGAATGCTGACCCCACTGAGTCAAATCCTCCTGCCAAGAAGCACAGGAGACGTAAGGCTAGTAATATGATTAGTTCATATATATTTAAAGTTTTATTTAGATTAATTCTTAAAGTATTTTACATTACAGAAATATGTTGTGCTTACTTAAAAGACAAGATTAAGAAGAAGGAAGTGAAATGTAATTTGACAGGTGTTCACTTTTATGCAATGTTGCAAAATTTAGTACTAGGCTATTTTACACTATACTACAGTTCCTCCCCCATCAGGTAGTCACCATATCTCAGAGGAGCTTTCCTTTGACGTGCTGGACGGCTGCGGTTTGGTGTAGGCACTGTTTCTTGACTTGTTGTCGCCGTATCGCTTACTATTGCGGATGTGTCCTCTGATGGCAAACAATCAGGAACTATACTTTGGTCTGGCTCGACAGTTGTTCCTACTTGCTGACTGCTGGATTCATTTAAGGCTGAAGATGCAGATGTATCGGGTAAACGTGTGCGTAGTTGGTCTATATGTCGTGATTGTATGTTATCTCCATCTAGAATTCCATAATTTCGTGATCCGGTTGACTGAACTGTTCCTGGTAACCATTTTTCTCCAATGCCATAATTCCTATACCAAACCTTCTCACCTGTTCCAAGCTTCCTCACTGGCTTTTCTGGCGTATTTCCCTTTATTGATTTTGAACTGGCTGGATGTATGTGATCCATCAATGTTTTTATCTTTCTCCCCATTAGCATCTCGGACGGAGTAATATTGTTGCTGCTATTTGGTGTTGTGCGAAGTCGTAAAAGTATGTTGGATAGCTCTTTATGCAAATGATTTGTCTTCACTTTCCTCACAAAATTTTTAACGGTCTGGACAAATCTTTCCGCTTGTCCGTTCGATGAAGGGTGGTAGGGTGCTGTCCGTACATGGTAAATCCCATTCCCCTTCAAATATCCTTCAAATTCCTCCGAAATAAAATTTCTGTCATTATCTGTCACCACTGTGTCAGGTATACCATGAGTAGAAAATATCTTTCGCAAGAGTTCAATTGTTTTATTTGACGTAATAGATTTTGTCATTTTTACTTCCACCCATTTTGAGTGAGAATCCACTACAATCAAAAAGTTCGTCCCCAAAAATGGACCTGCGTAATCTAGATGTAATCTGGACCAAGGCCTCTGTGTTTCAGGCCAACTTTCCGGTTCTGCAACTGGTGGGCTTCTACTTTGTTGACAACATTTTTCACATCCTTTTGCTAGTATTTCAATATCTTTATCTAATCCCGGCCACCAAAAATAGCTGCGAGCTATTGCTTTCATTGCTGTTATTCCTTGATGTATTTCATGGAGCATTGCTAATATTCTGCCTCGAAGTTTGTGTGGAATAATTACTCGACATCCCCACAATAAGCATTGACCATCTACAGAAAGTTCATTCACTCTTGCAGCAAACGGTTTTAAGTCATCTGAATCTGCCAATAATTTTTTGTACTTTCTTTGAATATGCCAAATTACTTTTGACAATATTGGATCAGTCCTGGTTGCATTTGATATCTCCTTCGCTGTTACTAAAAATTGTTCCTCGCCCTCTGTACAATATAAAACGTTATAATCTGGCGGAACACTTGTATCACTCACCAGCGGCAATCTACTAAGAGCATCTGCGTTTTGATTATTCATTCCTTCTCTATACTCAATTTCGTATTTGTATGCTCCCATCATTAACGACCATCGTAATAATCTGGGCGAAATATGCTGTGGAATTGGTTTAGAAGGATTCAAGAGTCCCAGCAATGGTTTATGATCCGTATAAATCGTAAATTTCCGGCCACACAAATACTGATGAAATTTCTTTATTCCAAAAATAATAGAGAGTGCCTCTTTGTCAAGCTGCGAATAATTCTTCTCTGCTGGTTGCAGCGTTCTTGAACCAAATGCTATTGGTGCCTCTCTTCCATCTGGCATCACATGAGCGAGAACGGCCCCGACTCCATATGGCGATGCGTCTCCGGACAATATCAAAGGTAATTCTGGTGAATAGTGTACTAGTACTTGTTCAGATTTTAAAATCTCCTTTGCTCTACTGAAACGGGATCTCTGCTCTTTACCCCATCTAAACGAAACATCTTTCTTTAGCAACCTGTATAATGGTTCCAATAAATCTGCCTTGTTCTGGAAAAAACGATCATAAAAATTTAGTAATCCTAAAAACGCTTGAAGTTGTTGTTTATTGGTAGGCTCCGGTGCATCGGACACTGCTTTTATTTTCTCAAGCGTTGGCTTGACTCCGTTCTGGTTTATAATAAATCCTAAAAATGTTATTTCTGGCACAGCAAATACACATTTCTTTTCTTTAGTTTGAGGCCTGCGTTTTGTATGCGTCGCAGGGTCTCTTTCGTTCGTAACCACATTTCCTCCATCGTCGAACCTCCAATCAAAATATCGTCCAAGTAAACCACCACACCTGGAACATCACCCACAATACTTTCCATCATTCTTTGAAATATGCTTGGAGCTGTTGAAATTCCAAAAGGTAATCTGGTTACTTCAAATAATCCCTTATGAGTATTTAAAGTGAGAATCTTCGCCGATTCCTCATCTACTTTTACTTGCGTGTACGCTCTA